TTTCCATAATAATTGTCATGACAATTGATGTACTATTTAAACAGCAACAAAAGGAAATTTGTTTGGTAGGGGGGGAATCCTGAGTATTATATATGGTATTATAAGATGCAAAGTAAGAGGGGGATTAGGTCTACCAGATTTCAAATTATGCTTCGTTGCTGTTAACTTAGATGAAAATGGATGTTGTTAAGAAACAGCAGGCTGTTGGAGTCAGAAGAACATTATCTGAGATTTGGGTGGCACAAATATATCTATGATATAATAAAACTAAGTTTAATGTAAATTTCATAAATCATTATGTCAGGTGGGCTATTTTTAGAGTATGAAATAAATAAATCTAGGTTGTGCCCAAAAATACTTTTATGTCTGTCAGCTAAGAAGCATTTTGTAGATGAGAAGTGATAAATGTTTAACTTATTGTTATATACTAGGATTTTCTCAAGGAAATTGTAAAATAAAATTAAGAGAAGATTTGACAATACAAGGATATATTTGTCACTGGTTTTCCATTTGTATAATTATGAGAAAGATTTAAAATGGATAAAAGATTTTACGGGTTTGAACAAGCATGAATGACTTTGAAATGGAACTATGTGCCAACAAGGTGACCCTTTTATTGCTAAAAGTATAAACTTGTGCTGAAATATCAGACAGAATAACAAGCAAAATAATGTATACTAAAATGGGCTAAATATTTTGGTTACAATAAACAAATGGATTAACAGGAAAATGTGTGGTTGAAAGAATTGAAATTTAATGCTAGTCTTAAAGGAATTTTTTATAAACAATGTACCATTGATATTGCTCACCAGAGAAATCATCTAGAATGTATAAAGGGTATTTCAAATTTATGTTGGAAATGTGAATAACATGAAGACACATTTTATTATGTGTGGTGGATGTTTAAAAAAAGCAAAAAAAAAGATACTTATGAATTAGTATATACACTAATTCAGAAGATTTTAAGGACCAATGATGAATTAAATCAGAAGCTCTTCTTCTGGGATTAATGGACAGACATCTAGAAAAAAGCCATGGAATGTTGTTTTTATACATGACAACTGCAGCGAGATTATTATAATCCCAAAATTGGAAGGATTCTGCATCACTCACAGTGGAGGAATGGTTGGTGAAGGTGATGGAATTTTCAAAGATGACTAAAATTATTTCCTTGGTTAGAGAAAAACACAATATCTACATTTATGGCTGACTGGAAACTCCTTACAGATTTTCTTTGATTTTCACATGAAGCAGAAAAAAAAGGCACAGTAAGCTTTAGTTTTGAAGACTAGAAAATAAAATTAAATAACAGAAAAAAGTGAGGGTTACTATGATTTTGTAATCATAGTAAGAGAAAACTTTGTAATTATATTTATATTAGCTGCAGAAGAAAATGGAAACTTTTTCTTTTTATTTCTTTTTATCTTTTCTTGCTGCGCTTTTATCTTTTTCTTTCTCTGTTTTTTTTAGCCTGTATTAGTTGGCATTACTTTTTATTTTCTCTTTACAACTTATATATAAATAAAAGCAGCACATCAGATACTGGACACAATTACAAACTGAGGAATCCAATTGGGGACTCCTTCAGTTCACATCTACGTGACAACTGAGTGGAGTAATTACGTTAGTAAGTGGAGTTATTAAGAAAAACAAAGCCATGGGCGAATAGGCCGCAATATAAACCAAATAGCTAAATAAATGATAGATAGATAGATAGATAGATAGATAGATAGATAGATAGATAGAT